ACGAAGCGCTTGCCGCAGTCCGGGCACGGGAAGGGCTTCTCTCCGGTGTGCGTGCGCTGGTGGATGGCCAGGTGCGAGCGGTACACGAAGCCCTTGCCGCACTCGTCGCAGCCGAAGGGCTTGACGGCCGCGTGGTAGCGCTGGTGCTTGGCCAGCCGGGACCGGTGCGGGAACACTTTGCCGCACACGTCGCACGTGGTCTCGGGCCGCCCTGCCGGAGCAGCCACGGTGGCAGGGAACGCCCAGGGTGCCAGCAGGTTCGCGCCAGGCTCCCGGCCCGGCAGGAAAGGCTTCGCCTCGGACCCGTCGGCCAGAACCCCGAGGCCCCCGGGGTCGGGACCCCAACCCTCCGGAGTCTGCGCCGAATCCGAGTCATCGGGGCCCCATGTCCCAGGCACGTCCCCCACGCCATAAGCTGCTGACCAGAGCCCCGGGGGCTCGTTCTCCTCCTCGGCCACCTCCGCCAGGAAGTCCTCGTCCTCCTCCTCCTCGTGGTCCTCTATATCGTCGGTCCAGAACCAGGCCCCTGAAGGTGACAAAGGCAGGCCAGAAGAAAGAGGTGAGAGGCAGCTCCTTGCAGGCTCCTCCCCCTGAGAAATCGCAGCTTGGGCGGGACCATCCCCCCGTCTGGGACAGGGCACCTCCGTTTCAGTGAAGCCACCGCCTCCCCCGTGGGTGGTCCCTCCTAGGGAAGCCGAGATTCCTTCACTTCTTGGACTGTTCTCAAACGGCATCAACTAATTAATGCCACCTGCTGAGGAACAGGGATGCTCTACAAAGTTGGTGACCTTGCCTGCAGGCTCCTGTGAGAATATTACAGGGGGCAGGGGTCCTGTGCTCAGAAAAAGATCCCCAAGCTGTTTTCCTCAAAGCCCCTTGTGTTCCAGAGAATTCCACCCCCCACCCCTGCTTGGCCCAAGGCCAGCAAAACTGTGGTGCCAGCACAGCCCCGGGCCCCTGCCGCTGAGGACCTGCCCTCCTAAGCACCTAAGCTTTGCTGGGCAGCCCTTCACCTCTGAATTCTTCCCAGCTTCAGGCTGGCCAGCAGCCATGGGTCTCCCTCCCATACTCAAGAGCAGAACCAGAAAAGCTACCTTAAGTGGAGGGGACCCAGAGGGGCCACTGAGCCCCAGCTCTCTGCACTCATCCTAACAGCCACCAGCAACTATTCAGGTATAGCCCACGCTCCCCTGCTAAGCCACCCCAAAGCTGGGCTTTTTCTGAGTGTGCATCTGGGAAACAGTCCCCAGGTGGCTAAGACTGGGGGGACTGCAAGCACCGTATCACAGGAGGCCAAAGACAGCCCCCTCTCCAAGGTCCTGCAGTTCTGTACCTCCCCCAGCAAACCGCACCCCGACCTCTCCCTTCAGTGCAGGTCATGGATGTGGACTCGGGCCTGCAGGGTTTTCTACTTTACATAATGGAGTCCTGATATACCTGCCATTATGATACACCCAGGAGGGAACTACTATTTACGGAGCAGGCACTGAATCCCAAGGAACAGAAGGGAAAAGCCTGACCCACGGTGGCCCCAGGTGTTCCAAAGTACCTGTGTGCCTACTTTCTCATGAATACTTTGCCCCACGTGTGTCCACAGTGGGCGCACACCATTGCTGTAGCCCACTTCAGAACCCTAACGTCTGGAAGGCTCGGGCTCCGAGGGTGGGAATCCCTTCTACCCCACCTGGGTCCGCCACCAAAACTGTGGCCAGTGCCAGACATCACCTGGCTGGATGAGTCTGATTGCTGAGTCCTGCCCCCAAGGGAAGGTCCGGGCCCGGCAGGGCTGCCCACCCCCGGCTCAGCCCTCGTCCTGTATTTCTGTACGGCACTCTACATGTATGGTGATATGGTCACATGGGCAAACCCAGCACAGCGCAGAGTGAAATAAAGCCAGACACAGGCATGATTTCAGCTGTGAAAAAAAACCACACATCATGTAAAGGGATACAGAGATGGGTTATTTTATTTTTTCATAATTGCAATCCTTTAAATTTTCTACAGTTAATAATATACCGTTGTAGTAAAAATAAGCTTTAAGCAAGAGACAGAAGTTCCCTGAACTAAGCTCAGTTTGCCTGCAGGTGCCAACCCAGGGCATGAGTGGGTGCTGTGGAGTGGCAGCGACCTCAACAGCACAGGGGGCATGCTCCTCACTGCCGAGACTGCAGTGCCCTCACGAGATGGGATTGTCGGTGGGAGGGTCAGGCAGTTGAGCGGATAGATCCACTGGAATTCTTTCCGTGAGTCTCAAAAAGAATTTTAACTCAAGACTCTGGTGAGGGTCGTGAGTAGTTTGAATGAGACTCCCTAAGGCAGGGGGAATTCAAGCTGAGGAACAAGTGCAATGTCTTAGTGGGGTGACTGTGCACCCCAGGACCTAGCCTAGGGGCAGCACTTGCTGGCTCCAAAACAGCCACTCAGGCCAAATGAGGGCTCACCAACAGGCGACCTCAGCCACTCAGTACTGGAAGGGGTGGGCCAGGTCCCAGTGACTCACCCACCACACCTCCTCCTTGGGGTCCAGGAGCAGCAGAAAGTTTCCCCCATGCACCCCGGGGCGGGGGGTGAACCCTTGCCCTGCCCCTACCTCGAGCCTCTGAACAAGGCTCTACAGAGAGAGTGATCATAAGAGGGACCTGGGGGACCGGGTCACTAGCCCTGGAACGAGCACAGCCATTTATCCGAGAACAAGACGACACTTAACACACAGCCAGGTCATGGAGAGCACCGCTAACACCAAGGGAAGGATGGTAAGGGCAGCCACGTCCCTAGCAGTCAGAGCTGGCTGCACCGCAAGACAGGACCTCTGGAAGGCACGGGGCCACAGGACAAAGAGCAGAGGAAGAGCAGCCTGCCCTAGGCTGGGCTCTGTTCCCTTGCCTCCTGTCACCAAAGTGGGCCAAGGTCTGGAGGTTGGGCCCTGGAGTGGGGGTGTCCCATGTAAGGGTCACTCCGGGCTGCAGTGGGGACAGGGTTTCCAGGGGGGAACCTGGGATCCAAGTGAGCACTTACCAGGTCTACTTGTGACACAAGAGCCAGGACAGAGAGGTTTTGCTCTGACAAAGAGGGTGACGGGACATTTTGCAACAGTGGCCTATGGGGTCAAACACAGTTGCTTCTTCCAGAATCCACAGGGAGAGGGTAGAGGGGAGGACCCTGAGTGGGAGCCGGTGTTCCATCCCCAGAGACATTGCTCCTAAGGAGTGTGACCCTGGGTGATTAGCTAGGCTGGAACCAGCCCTCAGAGGCCCAGTGACAATCCCAGGGGCTGACCAGTGGCAGCCTCAGCACAGCCCCCGAGGTACTTCTAGTAAGTGCCCTACCCAGGCGCTCATCGGAGGGCCTCGGGGAAGGGGAGGGCCCCTGGGCCACACACCTGGTGCACTTGTACCCCTGAGCTGCTCCGCATGACCGACACACAACGCCCGGAGAACGGTGCCACCGTTTACTAGGACTCCCACCCTCAGGCAGCCTCTGCCCCTGTCCAGGGACCCAGAGGCCTGCCCTCAGGCCCAACAGTGAGTCAACTGTGGGTCTGCTCTGACTAAACACCTCTCTGCTGCAACCCCTAAGTAAAGTCCACACCTGCTCCTGCCTCTTCCTCCAGACCCGGAGCCTCGAGGTGGCCTTGGGGAGAGGCCCCCACCTGGGGACAGTTACCAAAGGAGGACACGGACAGGGGCTGGTGTGCTCAAAGCTGCGTATGGCTCCTTCCTCCAGGGCTGCCGGCCAGCTGCCTTTCCTCCCCATTGAGCAGGGATTTGGTAATCAGGGCTGGACTCCAGTGCGACAGCTCCCGACAGGGCCAGGTTTCTGTGCTTCGAACTGTCCTCCCGTGAGGGCAGAGCCCGCCCCCCATCGCTGGCCTCAGCCTCCTCATTTGTACCATGAACTGTAATACCAAGGACCAGTTATTAGCAAGAGCTCGAGGCCGGGCCACTCCTCACTTGGAATGTTTCCTGGCTCCTTCCCCTTCTGCCGACACTGAACCCCGGGGTCTGAGGCAAGACAGCACCTCCGTGCCTTCTCCCTGGCTCAGACCACAAAGGGGGATTCAGTGATATCCCAGGTCCCCTCGGGGGTGTGACAAAGGGAAAGCCCGTGCTGAGGTCTGACACCCCCCCACCCCAGTTCTCCCAAGGACAGACAGGCGCTCACGGGCTGTGTGAGGTAGGACACACCTGCAGGCTGGCGCCCAGCCTGTACCTCCGCTCCACAGCCGCTCTGAGTTCCTCCTCTCCAGAACCACTCCCCGCGCTCACCCACCATGGGATTCGCCCACCTTAGTGTTTTACCTCTTACTGCCTTTAAATTTTCTCTCTATCCTCTCCTGCATCATCTTCAGGCAGGTTTAACCCTGCATTCTGTACTCCTCGTCTGTCCTTCACTTTCACGTGAGGGGCAGGACCAGCAGCCAGCCCCACTGGGTGCCAGGCCCGCGCCAGGTACCGTGGAGACAGCACAGGGGTGGACAATACATAGTGCCAGCTCATATGGAATCTGCCGGAGGCAGCAGGCAGGAAATGAGGAAGCAAACATCCAGCCAGGACCGTTTCAGACAGCACTGTCTGCTGTACGTGCAGGAAACATCCTGGAGGAAGGCAGGAGGGAGTGCTCCCGAAGTCTACGTGGTCAGAGAACACGCGACTTAGCAGGGACCTAAGAGCTGAGCCAGCCACACAAAGGGCACTCTGGGCAGGGGAAACAGTAGGCACAAAGGCCCTGAGGCAGGTGAGAGCCTGAAGAGAAAGGCTGGCTGTGGAGCTGAGCCTGAAGACCCAAGGGTGTGTGAAGTGAGTCTGGCAGGGCGGCAGGTCTCAAGGCCACAGCAGAGAGCCCAGATGCTATTCCAAGCGCATGGGGAAACTTCCAGAGAGTAAGGCAGACGGCCAGCTCAGGAACACCTGTGCCTGATGGCCTCATAGAAGCATGGGATGGGGTAGTGCAACGAAGGCAGAGGGACAAGGACCACTCAGGCAGGCAGCCAGGCCCACTCAGGTGCCCAGGACGCTGCAAGGGAGGCCTGCGGGGGACAAGCGGGGCCACTTCACGCTGGGGGCTGGGGGGATTCACTGCGGGACGCCCATCAGATAACTGAGTGGAGATGTCAAGCAGACAAGGTCAGGGCTGGAGAAAGCAGCTGAGAATGGGCAGCAGAGATAGAAATGGTACCGGAGGCTCTGGTCCCAGTCACCAGTCACCTGGAGAGGACAGAAGAGGACGCGGGACCGTCCTGGTCTCGTAAACAAGCGAGGGCAGGCGGAGAAGCAGCCGGGAAAGCAGCTGAGAAATCGAGGCACGTGGAGTCCTGAGGCCAAGAGGGTCCGTATCTCAGAGAGCAGAGAAGCCAGCCTAGCAAGGACACAAGGCCAGCCCAGCAGGCCAAGGTGGTGGCGGCGTCCTCAGGAGGCCTGCGGTCAGCCCACAGGTATGCCGTATTCCAGCCACGATCCCTGCTCCAGTGCACGTGTGGGCAGGGAACGGGCTGCTGCCAGGGGCAGGGGTCTGGCAGGCGACTACACAGGGCAATCACAAAGGAGGGAGAGGTGCTGCTATCTAAGCCGGGTGAGGAGACAGGTGCAGGAAAGGGGTGGGGTCAGAAGAGGCGAGGACAGCCAGCACCCAGGAGCTGGAGGTGGTGGCCACGGGGTGGGGAGCCAGAGCAGGACGCGCCAAGTCAGCACTGGACAGGTCACGGGGTGCCTGAGTCGGGGAAGGCGGACAATGTGCCAGACCTCTTGGCCCAATTTTTCAAGCAGCACAAGAGAGGAACACACTTGTGTTTTGCCAGACTCCAATCTAGAAATCCAGAAACTCTGCTGGGTTCAGAACAGTCGGCATCTGTCCCGCCCAGACCCAGCAATCCTCAATTCTCAACTGACTCAGGTGCTCAGAAATGAGTACAGGGAGAAAAGGGAAGGAGGCCGTCTAGCAAACGGACTACAGTTCTAGTTAAGAAGGACCTTAGGTGGATTTAGTGCACCCAAGCTGACCCCAGCCCTGGCTACTGTATCCCCTCCCGGGCACAAGGCCACGTCTAAGACTATGCCCGGTCCTGCCCCTACCTCAGGCTCCCCAGACAGGAGGGGTGGGATAGGGGAGCACTCTGGGCTCACCGGCCCTACCTGGCACACCAACCAGCCACTGGGGAGGACAGAGGGGCGGTGGCCTGGCTAGCCGTCCTCCTCAGGGAGCTGCCAAACTCACCCAGGGTCACATGTCACATTGTGGGGACCACCCAGGCTGAAACCTGCGAAAGTCTGCACCCCAGGACCCTCCAAGAAGCGTAGACAATGGGGCCACATCTAGACCACATGATAAGAGACAGGCCGACGGAGGTCTGTGGCCCCTTTAATTGCAGGTGACTATTCTGAATAGGGCCGACCCCCCACTAAGGCCCACTGAGAAACATCACCCACATCCAAGCCTCATCCTGTAAGCAGCTGCCACGGTCTCACCAACTAAAGCCCTCCCCAGTCTGCAGCCCAGGAATGGCTCCCAGACAGGGTCCCGGAGAGGGTGGACAGCTGGGGCAGGAAGGCCATTCTGCAACACCATGGACAGCGGGGCC